GACACAGCTATTGACTCGATTTTTCGCCAGTGGTCTCACATGGGGCTCCGGGACTACCTCCAGTGGCAGAGGTGCAGCAGAGGGCTGCGGGGTTTGTTCAGCCGCAGGCTGTGGGTTTGATGGTGCCGCCTTATTTGGATATGATGGGGCACATGCAGAGGATTGGTACGCCGTACTTTTAGGGCGGAGTTAGCCGAGAGGCGGCAGATTAGTGACGTTTGAGATTGGAGCGGAATTTCCAGTCTATCAGATGTTTGTTTAGTACCAGATGGAGTTAGCGGTTGATATACCCATATCTTTCATGTTTTTATCAAGGTTTTCACTATGTTTTTAATACAAATAATGTGGTTTTTATGCCCAAGAGGTAGTTTTCTTGTATATTCTGGTTTTGAGCATCATTCAGGTCAAAATAGCAAAGAAGAGTCAAAATGGAGCAAAAAGAGTCAAATCACCAAGTTCCCAAGTCTAGAGCACCAAATCTACATTTCTCGCTAAAGACCAAACCGGAGCATCCGAAGTACGACCGCATATTCATGCCTTCCCGACGTCCAAAAGTCATGTTTCTTATATGGAAAGATAGATATTTGAGTCATGACCCGCGGCGAAGTGGAAAGAGGTCATTTGGATCACTCGTTGGACCGGAACTTATTTTCTACCAAGACATGTCCGACGAGCGCCTAAGTAGAGCCCATGGAGACTTTGATGGATCAAGAGGCCCGAGATACCGCGCCCAAGGCCTTGGCTCATCTTGACACTAGCATAACTCAATCCAGAAGCTTCCATTGGCCTGAACGCGGCCCATTCAAGAACTTGGAGAGCAAGCTCAAGCGGCTAAAGAGAAATGGAAACTTTCCTCTTCTGCGCGCGCTCAACTTTGCCGACCTAGACCCGCTCTCTACCTATATATACTTGCTTTTAGCCTCTTGTAATAAGAATCACCAGCCGCATAACAAGAAACACTTATTCAATAAAGTTCGGAGCCACTTAGGTGGTCTCCTTCTTCTTTCTTTTCTTCTTTTGCATTTGTATATAGCTTGCATGTTTCAATTTATATAGTCTAGAAGTAGAGATTTCTCCCTAAGGGTGAGGCGTGGTTTAGTCATATTCCGCCGCCTCTCTCTCTAAGGATTCATGAGACTTCATCTACTATCTAAGACTCATTGTTGAATTATGGATCCTTCCAATGAGGACGTGATATAATGGCCATCGAAAATCGATTGTTAAAAGGGGAAACCCTATGGTTCTCCATCTTTATTTATGCTTAATGCTTGTTGCTAGAGTAGCTAACTAGTGACTTGATTTTAGGTTGATATACTCTCCAAAAGCTTGTTATATCTCCGGACACATATATTTGATGGGCAAATCGTTTTAGGCTACGAAAGTAGACCTAAAGAGTTTTGTGAACAATCATTACTTGGATGTAATGCATGTCTCACTCTACAATGACCAACGAAAGCTGAGCCCATTGGTTTAAGAGACATAGGGGATTGGAACCACGAAAGTGGAATAATCCTTCCTTAGTGTTTTGAGTTCAAAAGAATCGGATTTTAACAAACTTTTCAATCGACTTGGCTCATGTTTTCAAAAGAGTTTTCAATAGTTCAATAATGTTGCTTGTATAGAATTGCATTGTTATTTCTTTTGCGTGTTCTAAACAAACACAAACCCTTGCATCTTTTGATTTAGCTTAGTCATTTAAACTCTATGATTATGTAATGTGTGAAATCCAATCCCTTGTGGTTCGACCCCTAAATACTACAATTATATGTTGTGCACTTGCAACACTAGTTGTCTTAGGGAATTATTACTTGTACTCATCCCATAGATGCCGCATCAAGTTTTTGGCGCCGTTGCCGGGGATTGCATCATAAACACTTGCATAGTCTTGTTTAAAACTAAGTCTAGATCTTGGTATTTTCGAATACTAACTTTTTCTTTTAAATCTTGTGTTTATAGGTACTTGGAGATGAATCACAACACCAACATCCACTTTGGGAACCGGACACTGATCCCACACGATCTCCACGGCCGGAGTTACCAAGACCCAGCCGTAAGCATCGTGCCACATCCGTTCCCTCCCAACCGCGCTCATCCGACGTTTGAAGGACCTAGCCGAGACGAGCATCATTACCATCATCATCAAAACCGACCTCCGGTTTATCATCAACCACCTAGACCAGTGTTGCATTCACACCACGACCATGTTCTCAATAGGCGGAGAGATAGCCATTTCGATGCCGTGCTTGAGGGTTTCATGGAGAGCCAAAGAAAAACTAGCCGCGACATCTTTATTTTCTCACTTCTTGTGAGAATTTAAGTTTTTAAAGTAAAACTCTTTGGCCACTGGCTACAAACCGGATCATTGGGGATGATTTTATACAACAACGGGTCGGTATACGGTCAAATCGGGATATAGTGTTTTACAGGAACTCTCAGATGAGGGGACACTGCCAGTATTCGGACCGGACATTCGGCGGTTGCAAGCGCAATCCTGGAAGGTCAAATGTACTACAAAACTCCAACATTTCCTTTGGCAAATCATTACCGGGTGTTTATCGGTTGGCGCGCGATTATGCAGTCGGGGAATGCGGGTGGACCCGCAGTGCGTGAGATGTGGAATGGGAGAGGAGACTATCAACCATATGCTCTTTGAGTGTCCTCCGGCGCGCCAGGCATGGGTACTCTCCCCCATACCTACACCTCCTCAGCATTTTCCTACGGACGCACTTTTTTCAAATATGGCACACCTATTTTGGAACCTCCCAGATGATGATGATATGTCGATGTACCCATGGTTGCTATGGTTCATTTGGAAAGCTCGGAATTACAAAGTTTTCTCAAATGATAATCATAATCCACATGATGTAATGGAATCCGCAATAACGGAAGCAAGGGCATGGGCAGTGGCCCAAACGGTGATAGACAGTATGCGTAGTAATATTTCCTTACACTCCGGACCAGTCCCACCGGGGGAACGGTGTCAGATTGATGGAGCATGGAAAGTGACGGAAAGTCGGGCATGACTTGGATGGTACAATGTTGATTAGGTATCAGGGTCAATTTTGATTGGGTCCAGCAACCTACGGCGGGGCTTATCCCCTCTCCAGACAGAATTGGAGGCACTGATTTGGGCTATGCATAGCATGCTAGTTCATGACAAACGACGGGTAAATTTCCAAACAGACTCTGCTCAGTTGGTGAAGATGGTGTCCAAACCGGCAGAGTGGCCAGCTTTTGCGATCTTACTTGAAGAAGTGGAGAAATACAAAGGGATGTTCCAGGAGTTTTCGCTCACACACATCCCTAGGACGAAGAACACGAAGGCAGACAAGTTAGCACGGAGTGCTCGAGCTCAGCCTCAAGATGTGTACTACATAAACTCAATTCCACCGGCCTCGCTTCCCGGACCGGCTTAGACATTTAGGCTGTTGACAAAAAAAAAAATCAAAACCAATTAGACAAGATTCAAGATTTTTAGAAGATATTCATATTCATGTCTATAACCATATCTTTAATCATTTATATCACATTCATTTCAGGGAATAAATCAAAACCAATTAGACAAGATTCAAGATTTTTATCATAACTCATTATTTTATCAAAATAACTTTAAATTTTTTTTAAATAATATTTTGTCTGCTGAACAATATTATTTATCTAAAATGTATGTCTTTCATCATCATTGATATATATTATCTTCCAGATAAATAAAAATAATTTATAGACAAGATATTCATCATTATCTTGTAATCTTAGATGTAAATACAAGATATTCATGTAGAGGATAGTAGAAAGATTAAATAAATATTATCAAATATATATAAACAAAGCATAATGAAAAAAAAATATTAATAACATTACCTTTTATTATCACTTCAAGTGACAATTTAAGTTTGTCATATTTTATCAGCAAGACAATAATATTTTAAAATACTTCTCAATACTTCTCAATATTTCTCAAATTTATTAATAATATTGTGTCTACAATACAACAATATTTTTATTATGTATTTTAACATCTTTGTATTAGTAGTATTATCTTCACTTATATGTTTCTAGATGCAATAATTATTTTAGATTACTCTATTAATTCATATCACTTCAGGTGATTATTCATTTTCTTTAAATTGCTATATTAGATCATATCACTTTTGGTGATCATGCCTTTCTTTTTACTTTATGATAAACTAGGAGAGCACCCGCGCAATACGCGGGATTTTGTTTTAAAATTTAGTATTTTATGAAAGTTTTAAAAAAAAAATATCCTAGGTTTTAATCCTCTCTCCCAATAATGGTAACATTTTTTGCTTATTTGCTCACTGTTTTTGTATTTTTTTGCCTAAGGTTTTGGTTTAATTCCTCGTTGATTTACTTTAACTAATCAATATTTATATGCCAAAATGGTTGTTGACCAAATTAAAATATACATTCATCAGACATAAAGTAAGAACTTGTGCTTTTAGCAATCAACTAAAGGGTATTTGTTTTACCTTTGATTGTATTAAAGTATTAAACTAAGAAGATATGGAGTAGTAAAAGAAGTTAAAAATTTCTTCTACCAATCCAACGAAATAAATCAGTAGATATATAGGGGATGATTGGTAGGAGCTGTGGTTGCTCTCCACAGCTCTATATCTCTCTACAGCACTCCAAAATTACCAATCATGCTCTCCTTTTATCTCTTTCCATTTTTGAAACATAGAACAATTTTATTTATTTATGGAAGTTCCGTAGCTGTGGAAAGCAATTTTTCTAGAGCACTAAATTTAGTACTCTCTAAATTTTCTCTCTTCTCTTTCCGTATTATTTTGTCTATATTCTTTTTTTAATCTCTTATTTCTATATCTTCTTTTTTTGTTTTAATATTTCATTTAATACACAATCTACAAAAAAAAAAATCTTACAACACTAAAAACTAAAGCCACAGCACTAAAACCTACAGCCTAAACTCTACAGCCAAAAATCTAAAGCCACAGCCACAACCAATCAAGCCCATAGCGTTTGTAATTTGAAGGACATAAGCCAACTTTATTTGGAACAAAGACGTGTTTTAGGACCGGGTAAATACATACGTTATATACCAAAAAACAGAAGGTACAAACTGTGAATCCAAATAAACTTAGTAATAACAAAATCTTCAATCTCTATGAGATGTACAATTCAAGAAGCAAAAGAGTATTTCCTATACAAAAGGATGCAATACTTTTTGTTCTTCAAATATCTTGTCCCTGCAAAACCAACAAATGCAGAGACGACTATGAGCAAACAATAAAAGAAGAACTACAAACGAACCGCATGCAAATCAGACAACCTTACATAACCCTACAAGAAAAACTCTGCATACACTTTAACATCATACGCAGAATTCAAAATCAGGACATGAAAAGGAGATAAATTTGAATACCGTGAAGCAGTTATGTGTACAAGCTTCTGCTTTAAACCTTTATCGATGATTTTCTCCAGCAACTGCAAGTCCTTTTGACGTCCCTCGCCCAACTAAAAAACAGGCAAAACCGGAGAAAGAGTGGATTCGTCTATAGCCACAGTACGTTTAACACCTTTTTGCTTGAATAAACTCAGTCTAGAATAAGTGAGCAGACTCTCGAGCTGTTGGTTTCAAAATCAAGAGTCGATTAACAATCTACAATATCTAAATACAAGCCAACGGAGCGTTGAGACACTATCCAGAAATTGAAAATAATTGGAAAGCAAACAGGTGTAGACTAAAAAAAAAGGGTCAGACCTCATGTAGTGCCGTGAAACTTTAGGTTTTATATTATAAAGTTTTGTTTGACAAGTTTTAACCTGTAGTCACTGTAGATCTATGGTGCAGTGATGAGAAAGTGAACATCTCTAAAGCTTATGTTGCCTACTGGCTTCTCACTTTTCCTTTCAACGACGTGTATGCCTCCGATTCTCTTTCTCCTCATCAGCTTGAAGACCTGAAGAACAGGTTCATCTTCATAGATCTGTAACATAAATGGTGAGTATGTTAAGAACAACAAAGAATGCACTCTTATGGAGCTATGAGTAAGATTAGGAATACAAAGTTACAAAGCTGACCTTTATGATATGATCTTTTGACATAATGGGAAGACGGACTTCAGAGAGAGTTTTGATTCCCCAATCTTCAAACCAGTGGAGCCCCGCGCATTCTGCAAACATATGGATAACTCCTGATTGAGTGATGATGCTCTCGATCTTTGCTTCACCTAAATCAACCACAGGGATGCTCTTCATTTTGTGCTTTGAAAGAAGCAAGAGCATGGTTAAAAAGGAGTTCTCTTTCTGCAGAGCCAGGAACGGTGCCCATCGGAATGTTCCAGAGATCTCGAACCTGTAAGAGAGAAGGATATTCAATGCATTTCCAAAAGCCGTAATCAGGAAAAGAATCAATGGAACGTGTAAAAAGATAGGAGCTTCACCTTGGTGTTCTTCTATAGCTCTGAAGAAGTAAGGACCTCAAAGAAGTTTCCAGAAGTTACTGCTGAATTTCCGTTATCCAGAACATCGGAGGTGAAATCATGAGCAATTCCATTTGACAGTGCTACAGTACGGCTCCTTGGAGATGGTGGCTCCAACTGTTTTTTTTTTTGAAGTAGAGCAAAGACAAGAGCAAAAAGCAAAATGTTTGAAAGAGAAGATAGAAGGAACAACAAACCTGATGCAAAAGCCAGACAACAATGCCAGGAAACTCCAGAATACCTACCATGGAAGAGCTGACAAATGCATGCGAGTGTGTACCGCGGAGGGGAATTCCAAACAATTTTCCTACTGCAACATTACTCCGGTCAAAACAAAGCAAGAAAGCAATCAAATCATGTTCTCTCTTCTCTTTAGATCCTTTCATAAACAAAACCAAATCACTAAAGTAAGACTGAGACATGCCTTGTTGCATCAAAACCTCCAAGGTAGCAATATTTTGATGCGTTTATTGCGCCATCAGGACCCTATAACAACAATATATCAAAGATGAAACAAAAAAAACAAAAACCTCAACATCTAAAGCTAAAATATGACAAGTTTTCAGTGGAAACCTGAGCTCTCCGAGCACCAAACTCAAGCAAAAGCTTAGACTTTCCGGCGACAAACCGATGCCTTGCTGCATTTGTAGCAACGAAAGATGCGTAATTGATGAGATTGAGAACAAAGAGATAGCATACACTTCAATGTCAGAACAATCAAGTCCTCGTAGATAATCACAGAAAGCTTCCTGCTTTTGGATATTCCCAAAACGGTCAAAACAATGAACAAAACAAAAAAAACGATTCTTTTTATGAAAGTGGAAAAGAGAGATTTTTGGCTGTACCTCACATCCAGGCAACGAATCACGAACGAAATCGATCTCTTCATGAGTCAAATTGAAATTAGCGAGGAATTTGATGCATTCTTCTAATCCAGCGTAAATGGTGTATTCTCCACCAAATGGGTTCTTACGAAAATACAAATCAAACCTGAGGATTGAAACAAAAACGAAGAGAGATGAGAACTTTTTCAGCTATTGTGGATTCGAAAAGGATTGAGATTTATCTAATTGAGAGACTAACACGGATCGTTCGGATTGTTTGCCGGATTTCCAGTAAGCATAAGCCATGGTGAATTGGTAGAGACGGCGTAACCATCGGGTAGGTGGGTCCGTCGACGACCCGACCCGGTTTCTTCCCATCAACACCATTTGCTTTCTTCTCCGTTCTCAAAATCATGTGTGTGTTTTTTTTCGTGGTTGTGTTAAAGAGAGAGTGGTCACTGACTCTGAAGCAAAAAGGCGAGGTTGAGGATGAGGACAATTTATTTTCAACTCCAGTTATGCATTGCTCACATACGCAGGAGGCGGACCCAAAAGGTCATGAAGATGAATCGTCGTCATTGAGAAGAAGCGGAAGCATCGTCTGTTTTATTTATTTATTAAATTACCTATAATCAAAACGACGTCGTTTTGGAGGGGACGGAGAAGGAAAAAAAACTTCTGATATTAAACGACGTCGTTTTGGAGTAAGACGGGAAAGGGAAATATAGAAGGGATGACGTGGCACTCTCTGGAGGTACTGAGGTGTCAGCAGCTGGAGAGTGTCACAAGCCCTTTCAATTATATAGATTAATACATTTTCAAATCTTGTATTAATATATAAATACACTCATTAATCTATATATAATCTAGACATATCATATAAACAATGATGCTATTATTTAATCAATCAATCATGGATTAATTTAAATAGTAAATAATATTTTATTTGTAAAACCAAATCAAAGCAATAATAAAAACAAATCAAGGAAATATTATTATTTTACTTTTTTCCAGATATTCAATGATATAATATATGATTAGCAAATGAGATCAATTAATAAAACATGATAAACAATATCAATGTCATAGGAAGATATGGTGCAAAAATAAAATAATATTATTTAACAAGACTATCAAAATTCATTTCAAAAAATAATCAAGTGATTTAAATACCAATCTGTCAACAAACATTAAAATTTATAACATTCAACATAAATAATTTCAGAGTGATTCTAGCTCACACATTAATTATAATCAAAAATGTGTTCAAAAGGTCAAATTAACAATTTAATATGGTCAAATATTGCAATAATATTTCAATTTAATGATGAAATTAATTCATACAATGAAAACTTCTTCTTTAGACAATTTTCAAATAATTATTCAATTTAGCAATTAAATTATTACGAAAATAAATTTAAAATAACAAATATCATAAGAAAAGCAAATAAAATAAATAAGAACAATATATATCAATGCAAATAAAATAATAAACAATATAAAATCCTTCTGGGATAAATAAAATAAATAAAAATTATAAATCCTGCCAGAATTTAGTTGAAATATATTTATCCTTCTAGGATAAAAATAAAAATAAAATCCTTCTAGGATAACAGAAATATAAATACTATTAGGATATATAAATAAAATAAATAAATTCTTCTGGAAATAGAAATAAATTATATAAATCCATCTGGGATCTACTCCGGATCTATAAATAAAATAAATTATTTCTTCTGGAATATAGTGAAATATAAATCTTTCTATGATATATATAAATAAGATATAAATCTTACAGGGATATAAATAAAATAAATTAAATAGAAATCCTTCAGGGATATGAATAAAATATAAATAAAATATAAATCCTTCAGGGAAATAAATAAAAATTTGAAATAAAATATAAATCCTTCAGGGATATAAATAAATAAAAATTAAAATTCCTTCAGGAATATAAATAAAATAAAAATCCTTCAGGGATATAAATAAAATAAATAACATAAACATAACATATAAATAAATATGAATCCTTCAAGGATATAAATAAAATAAATAAAATACAAATCCTTCAGGGATGTATATAATTGAAATATATAATTCCTTCAATGAAAATAATATATAGATCCTTCAGGGATATTCATAAAATATAAATCTTCCAGAGATATAATTTAATTAGACAATAATAGAAAAAATATATATAAAGCATGTCTTTGTTGAATCCAAAATATTATCAATAAGTAATATTGATTAAATATTGATAGAAATGGATTTTAATAGAATAAACACAAACCAACAAAGTAATATAAATTACTCATTGAATTTTGTGAATTCAAACTATAAGAACTATTAGAACTTTTGATTACATAAAAAATAAAATAAAATAAAATAAACTAAAAGGTAGAGACTTGTGCTGATAACGTGTTGTGAGAAAGAGAGAATGAGATTGTCTTATACCATGAGTGATACATATATATATATATATATAGGATTACAACATAGGGTTTCAAGAGAGAAGACACAAAGGGAGAAGTGGACCTAATGGGCTAATGGGCATCCACATATTTACCCATAACAGTATTAAAATATTTAAAATTAATAAATATAATATTGACGTGTCGAATTTTGAGTACTCTATTTGCTGATGTGACAGCACAAGAAGAGAGCAACATCAACTTTATATATATAATATAGATAGATAATATTTCTGCATTAGGTGTTTCCTAAAAAACCCAACTAGCACAACATTATTTATAGTTGTAGACCATTTATTTTTTTCAAATTGTCAGGCTAGTGCAATCATTGTTTAATTAAGTGCTTAATTAAGTGCTGTATATTTTCAGAAAAAAAATAAAAAAATAAATAATTGTCTTAACAAAACCAAAAGAAAAAGGTGTTTTCAACTGTTTAGACAAAATTATTTATATTATATATATATATATATATAAATAGATAATATTTCTGCATTAAGTGTCTCCTAAAATAATCCAACTAGCACAACAATATTTATAGTTGTAGATCATTTTTTTCTTTCAAATTTGTCAGACTAGTGCAATCATTGTTTAATTAAATAATTAAGTGCATAGATTAAATGCTATGCAGAAATAAGTGCTATGCATATATTTCAAAAATAAAAAATTAAGTAATTGTCTTAACAGAACCAAAAGAAAAAGGTAAATTTAACCCATTTTTATTTGTTCGTACGACTGATGATGGGAAAATTGCTTGAAGATGAATTATATATGTCCGAGTATAACAACGATGAATTATAAGTTTCAAACACTCGTAGTTGAAATGTCGAACAAAAAATTTGATTGATTGTTTAAAGGTCATTATTATAAAATTTGTGTAATTTTCAGATTTTTTATAGGTCAAATTAAAGTCATGCACATTTTATAAGGTTTAAAATATCCGTATGTTTAGGAGTTTTCTCTTGGGAAAAAAAAATTATATATTAGTTATGGTTGATACATATATTTATGATTAATATCTAAAAGAATAAACTTCATAAAGAACAAAATCAATCACATAAATAATTTTCTTTTCAAAATTGATTTTGTTTCTGCATGTTCATCTATATAAATAGCCATTGATTTTTAGCTTCTCTTTCATATAGTTGTGGAGAAATATATCTCATAGTATATAAATTAAACACAAAAATAATTTAAGCAAAATGTCGTCATCAAACTCAAAGCTTCACTTTGTTGCTCTCTTGATCATTCTTTCACTCCTTGCTTACAATGGACAGTCGACTAGTAAGATCTCTACCATCTCTTAATTAGATTTTCATATAACAAAAAAAAAAAAACGATTGTATCCATATAATACATATGTGTGTGATTATCAAACTCACTTCTTATTTCTTATTTACTAAAAATCATTATCATTATAATAATAATTCTACATATGATTGATTAACAGGAATAATGGATGACAATCTTCCAGAATGTGAATTTAAAGGACCATGTCAGATGAAAACCGATTGCTTGGGGATATGTGGAGGCAAACCTGAAAATGCTCTGTGTATACCTAATCCTAGCGTTGAAAGTCTTCAGTGCTGTTGTCTTTCAAACTAATTTGATTAGAATTATACTCACACTATTAAAATAATGTGTTCTATTAATAAGTGTATTCAATTTTGCGATATTACTTTTCGAATAAAATTTTCAGGGTTTCAACTTTCAATCAGGTTAAGTACATGAAAATTGTATAAACAAATTACTTACCAGTATCACTTTATTAGAGAAAAAATGATGTTTAACAAATTTGGATTAAACGTCTTAATAAAACTTACTTACCACTATTCCATCTTAAAAAAATGACATTTAGGTATGTAATTTGATATTGAATAAAAAACTACTTACCCAATATCATTTCGATTATTGAAAATGGTATACATCAGCTTAAACGTGTTTCGTTTTTCTTTGTCTTAGCTTACATAAATTTGTCATTTCTAGACGCAAATCACTTCAAATTGAACAGTTTGAGCTCACGAATCATGTAAAAGTCGTCTCTAACACCAAACATATTTAGTGAATTAGAGTCATTTCTCGTTAGTAGTTATACTGTAATTAATAGATAGTAATCTTTCCGATTCATGACCACAAACTAGTTTACAAATTATTGGCTTCGAGTCTTTGACATAAAAGGTTATGCATGGGCCATGAGTTTTACTCTTTAGAAAAATAAAAGTATAATGTAAGTTCGAGTTTTGATTCACTTAAACCTGTATACATATTTATCAGTATTCAAATAAAACTTTATACAATAATTTCATGATATAGTAACCTTATTACACTGATGTTTTTGTGTGTGTATAACCTAAAACAAGGTTTACTAATTACCTAAAATCCAACAAGATGGTCAGGCCCAATTTTAAACATCTGAAAGTCTATCTTGGTGCAGTGGTTAAAACCCACTATATGGTTTCATAAATAATGATGGTCAAGCCCATAACCTGATGCAGGATTAATTATCTTAGATCAAATAGCCAACTAATTAATTAGATCTACTACAATAATGAAAATGTGTATTCAATGAGAATTGATCTCTAATTTTCATTGTCCTTTTTTTCATTTAATTTCTTTATCATTATTAATTTATGCCAGACCAACCCACATACATCTATATTAAATATAAACGAATTAAATTTATACAACGGCATTTAATTGTTGCCTAACAAAATAGATTTCAAAATCGGTCGTGTGTGTGGGACTCTCTTATTGGTCTGGTCTATCTATTTCTATCTCCCTAGATTGATTGTCTTACGTCACACAGATCTGTCTCACTCACTTACCCAAACCATATCTTTAGATTTCACACTCCCCTTTCCGTCCATTATCTACACGTTTCCTAATTTCTAAAGCCCACACATACCATTCAACACACAC